GGGGGGGGCGACTGTATTTAAGTCTTGTACATAAAAGGTAACCACAAATTCAGTGCAGTTAGGTGAACAAAAAGGGGGAGGAAGGATGGATCACTTGGTTCCATCACCGTAGCTCATTTAGCTTTAACACTACCCACAGAAGAAGAAAAACACATCATCTGCAGGCAAGCATAAAAGCACCTCTGAGTATTCCTTATCTAAGAAAACCCTATGAAATTGTGTGCACCTTCCAAAACCAGCTTCTTGCTCTCAGGTGCACTGCCCCCAGGTTCAAGATGACAGGCAACTTAAAGGCGCGCACACACACACACACACAACTTTTGCAGGTTTATTTACAAGGCTAAACTAGTCGGCTCGCTGCAAAAAGAGAACAACTATTTGAGATTGCAATCTTCTACCAACAGCAAGCTTGTTGCTGCTGTGTGCTTTCAAGTAATTTCTGACTTATGGCAACCCTGTCGTGGGTTTTCCTGGCAAGATTTGTTCAGAGGAGGTTTGCCATTACTTTCCCCTGAGGCTGAGAGCACGTGACTCGCCCAAGGTCATCCAGTGGGTTTCCACGGCTGAGCAGGGAGTGGAACCCTTGTCTCCAAAGTCATAATCCAGCGCTCAAACCACTATGCCACACTAGCAAGTCCCACTAAATGAGCAAACATGCAAAGAGCTGTGAATGCCACAGATCCACAAGGTTTTAGAATGTGTGGTGGCTTCCCAACTCCAGGGGTTTCTGTATGAAACGGATTATCTAGATCCATTTCAATCTGTTACGGAACAGAGACAGCCTTGATCACCTTGGTGGATGACTTACACAGAGAAATAGAAAGGGGGAGTGTGTCCCTGTTGGTTCTCCTGGACCTCTCAGCGGTTTTCGATACCATTGACCATGATATCCTTCTGGACTGTCTGTCTGGGATGGGACTGGTACTGTCTTACAGTGGCTCCATTCTTTCCTGGAGGGGCGAACCCAGAAGGTTGTGCTAGGGGACTCCTACCCCACCCCCTGGCCATTGGCCTTTGGGATCCCTCGGGGTTTTGTGTTGTCCTGTATGCTATTTAACATATACATGAAGCCACTGGGAGAAGTCATCCGGAGTTCTGGGGTGCAGCATCATCAATATGCCGATGACACTCAACTCTATTAGTTCTTTCCACCTCAATCCAAGGAGGCTGTCCTGGTCCTAAACCAGTGTCTGTCATCAGTAATGGACTGGATGAGGGTAAACAAGTTGAACTTTAATCCAGATTAGACAGAGGTGCTCCTGGTCAGTCAGAAGGCAGATCAGGGTATAGAGATCCAGCTTGTTTTAGATGGGGTCACACTCCCCCTGAAGACACAGGTTCGCAGTTTGGGGGATACCCCTGCACTCAGCTTTGAACCTGGAAGCCCAGCTCTGTGCAGTGACCAGGAGTGCTTTTGCACAGTTAAAGCTTGTGCACCAGCTGCACCCATTCCCTTAGATGCAAGGTCTGGCCTCAGTTGTACATGCCTTGGTTACATCCCACTTAGACTACTATAATGCACTCTACTTGGGGCTGCCTTTGAAGAGTATTCAGAAACTTCAACTGGCCCAAAAGCTGCAGCCAGGCTGCTAACAGGGCAGGTTACAGAGATCACACAACACCTTTATTGAAACAGTACCACTTGATATCTGTTTCCAAACATTCAAAGTGTTGGTGATGGCCTATAAAGCCCTATATGGCTCAGGACCAGGCTATCTGGCAGACAGTATCTCCCTATATGAGCTGGCTCAGCCTCTGAGATCCTCAGGGGAGGCCCTTCTCTCCATTCCACCCACATCACAAGCATGGTTGCTGGGGACATGAAAGAGGGCCTTTTTCATGGCTGTCCCTAGACTCTGGAACTCCCTGCCCAGGGAGACCAGAATGGCCCCTTCCTTAATGGCCTTCCGCTGACATGCAAAAACCTTCCTTTTCAGACAGGGATTCAAAACAGAAAGCTTTTAAAGAATCACCTGGGGTGCTATATTGTTTTAATGTATTTTAAGCATTTTTATCTTTTTAAAGTATTTGATGTTTTAGTATGGAATCTGTTTTAATTATTGTGGTAGTTTAATTCTGTTTTAATGTACTATTTTTATATGTTTTTTTAATTGCGTTGTTTTTTAATGTTGCAAGTTGCACTGAGGGATATCATCATCGTTGTCATCATCATCATCATCATCATCCAAATACAATCTGCTGCTTGAGAACAAAGGACAATATGATACCACTCCCTTCTTCCACATACAGAAGTGAATTGGACTGGCATTTGCATCTTACTTTAAAACTAATAATATTTTTTATTATTATTATTATTATTATTATTATTATTATTATTATTATTATTTTAAAACTACTGACAGATCAGTGTCCTACGGTGGACCTGAGGGCGGCAGGCTAGTTTAGGAGGTATGTGACATATCATGGAGCATACACAGCTGGAGGGTTCAGGAAGAATGGCTGGGTGTGGGTGTGCTACTGGTGCTTCCCCCAATAACTACCACTTAAGGTAGCTGCTCCACTCTGCCTGATGGTAAGGCAGGGACCGCAACACCAAGTCTTCCTTTCAATTTCCATAGCCCAATTTTAGGATTAGAACTCATTTCCAGCATTGTAAATGCATTTTCCTCCCACTTTGTCCTCTCTTGCTCCCCTCTTCTTCCATTTGTTCCCTGTACTCTTTTCATTGCTTCCAAAGGTAGGTGGTAAAGCCTTGAGAAATGCTCTAAACAGGGAGGCAATGCTAAGTCCATCTCAGCAGTATTTGCACTACCAGATTCCACACACCCCTTTCTGAGTCATAACTGCAGCTATGCTGATTTGAAGCTTCAGATAGGTACACTTTGGTAGCACCTGGGCAACTGTTGATCAGATTTGGCTTAGCCCCATTAAAGGCCATTCACACATTTTATGTGCAAGAGGACAGGTATCTAGTTCCAAAGCCACAAAGAGTGCCACTCAGGAGTGGCAGTCATTTGTTTTTCACAGGCCTCCTTTTCCCTTTGAATGGACAAGACTTTAGTTACCAAAAAGCCTCATGTAATCATAAATAAGTGATAAGGCATCTCTACTCGCTCTGCTTCCAGCTAATCTTCACCTGTAATTGCAATGCTAAATTAAGAGCAGCACTTCCTCAGGGCCCGTCTCCTTGCATGTGCTGCCAGTATTGCTAATACTTGGTGGCTGAAAATGAAAGTGAGGAGGACATACACGCTGCTGTGCATGATAACCACCCTGGATGAATGCAAGAGAGAGTCCTCTAAGTATGATTAAATCTGGACCCAATCCCATGTCAGAGATGGCATATTGGACATTCGGTGTAAACCGTATCACCCATGTTGACCCATCTCTCCTGGTCTGCTGTGTGGAAAAATTGAGCATCTCATGCCAGCTTTGGATATGTATCCAAAAGTGAAGCATAGTCTTCTTCAATGGGCAGCTCCAGGCTACAAAAGGGCCACTGAGGCTAACTAGGTTTGTTGCTTCCTATTCCTTCCCTCCCAGTCCTAGTGGGAATCCAGATGCAGCTGGACTGCAACTCACACAATTCATCACAATTAGCTATGCTGGCTAAGCCAGCTGAAAGTTGCAGGCCAACAACATCTAAAGGTAAAGGTAAAAAATAAAGGTATTCTGCATTGACAAGGTTGTCAAGTCGTGTCCGACTGTAGGGGACAATGCTCATCTCCACTGCTAAGCCAAAAAGCCAGCATTGTCAGAGACTACTACTATATCATCATCATCATCATTATCATCATCATCATCATGTGGCCAGCATGACTGCACAGCATGCTGTTTACCTTCCCACCAAAGTGGCACCTATTTATCTACTTGCATTTGCATGTTTTCAAACTGCTAGGTTGGCAGAAGCTGGGACTAGTGATCAGAGCTCACCCCATCATGCAGCACGCGGGCCTCGAATTGCCAACCTGCCAATCTTGCAATCAACAGAGTCAGAGTCTTAACCACTTGAGCTACTGCATCAACATCTAAAGGACTGCAATATTTTCAGGTTCCAGGTGGATGATGGTGCTCCAGGTTTAGCATTCACTTGTTTTTGTTTCTGTGTGTCTTCAAGTCATTTCCAACTTATGGCGATTCTCATGGGATTTTCTTGGCAAGATTTGTTTAACGGCTTGAGAACATGCAGCTTGTCCACGATCACCCGGTGGGTTTCATGGTCAAGCTAGGAAATGAACCTTGGTCTCCAGGGTTGTGGTCCAACACTCAAACCACTATGCCATACTGGCTCCTTTTATATATACCTATTTTCTTTTGCTCTGCTCATATTCATTCCCTTTTGTATCTTTGCCAACTTCTCTTTACTTTCCAATATAAAAATGCAAATTCTCACTCTGTCTCCTTCCTTTTCTGCTGTTTCCTTTTCTCTTGCTTTTAGCCTTCATTAACAAGATCAGAATGGGCAACTTGCAGACTCTGGGCTGCATGAGGACCTTAGCCTAATTGCAAAAGTCTTCTGCATGCAATCTGTTCCAACCTAGTACAAACATCAGCCTACTGGGTAGGGAAAATAAGAAGTGACTGTCAAAAAGAGAGATAAACAGAAAGGGATGTTGGAGTGAAAAGGAGAGAGAAAATGGCAGGTCCTAACCTCTTTTTTTTTTTTTTTTTTTTTTTTTTGCTGTGGCTCTGTCCACTACAGTCCTCAATCCCACCCACTGGCAAGATATACACCTTCCAACAGATCATCTCAGTGGGACTCCTTTCACACTATACAACTAAAGCACTATGCTTCCACTTTACCTGCCATGGCTGCATCCTATGGGATCCTGGGATCTGCAGTTTTTGCTATTAACTGCCCTTGAGTTGGCCCTGAATCATGGCAATCCTGGGGATGAGACATCTCCAAGATCCCTCATCTTCCACTGCTCTGCATCGGTTCTGTAGATTCAGGCCCATGGCCTCCCTCATTGAGTCTATCCATCTAGTGTGCGGTCTTCCTCTCTTTCTACTGCCTTCTACCTTCCCTGGCATTGTCATCTTTTCTAATGAGTCATGCCATCTCATGATAGTTTTGTCATCTTGGCTTCCTGAAAGAGTTCAGGCTCGATCTGGTCAAGGACCCATTTGTTTGTCTCTTTGGAAGAGACATTTAGAATTCTCAGCCAGAACATTCTAGTGGCTCACCAAACTACAAATCCCATGATTCCACAGGCTGCAGCCGTGACTGTTAAAGTAGTCCTATAATTATCTACTTTGAAAGCACCCCAGATGTTCACCACTATTGTTCCTGAGAACCAAAGTTCACCAGCCTTGCCCCAGTTTTCTGACCTTCACAAGCCGACTTATCTGTTATCCCACAGGTTTGCTGTTGTTCTTGTCTGCCTTCAAGACATTTCTGACATATGGTGACTATAATTCTATTATGGAATTTCCTGGGATTGATAGGGTCTCCATGGACGAGCAGGGAATCAAACTAGGATCTCCAGAGTCCTAGTCCTATCCCTTCCACAACTGCGAGACTCAGACCCAATTCAGACGATGAAAATAATCCAGGATGAATCCCGGTTAAATCGCTATTGTTCACATGCATTTTGAATGCACCCAATTAACTTTTTTTGGGCGGCTACCAAACCCATTACTTAATCTGGGATAATCAATATCGGGGTTT